ATTACTTGAGAGGGGTGCCTGCCAGCCTACCTCTTAGCAAGAACCACCGGCTGGTGTGACATCAGTATACACCATGGATAAGTACTACATATNATAAGAAACCGATCGTCCCCACCCAATGTGTAGGCTTCCCGGCACACTTCATGCACATACATGCTCGGGTTTTTCTTCACAATAATTGGATCCTATCTATTGGAATTGCGTGGATAAATTCTGCCATTATGTAATTAATTTCACAATACAATCCGTAGCATAGTCTACTATCATGTGCATACGCCTAAACGGGAATTTCAAGTCCCCCGCTTTCGTCCCGCGTGCTGTGTCCGATTCGCAGGAGCTGAAATGCATTTTCGTCTACTGCTGTATTCTACCATCCATGGCGCACTATAGAGGTCCGTCCTCTCGATCGGAAATATCGGGGGGTGCGTGCGTACTTGATATTACTTGAGAGGGGTGCCTGCCAGCCTACCTCTTAGCAAGAACCACCGGCTGGTGTGACATCAGTATACACCATGGATAAGTACTACATGTTGGTGTTGCACTACACTCTTGCTCTGTTGAAACGGGCAGGGTTACTCCGACTGTTAGATATACTCGCAGCAGTATCTGGTCGTGAGGATCCTAAGGGGATTCGTGTTGGGAATTTCGTGTGCTGTAGAGTACCACCGGTGCAGTCACGGGGACCCTTTTGGCGCGGTTGGTACGACGAGGCTTGCGTGTGTGCTGCGCATTTCTTCCTTCTCTCCCTCCACCGCCACCGCCGTCTCTCTCCAATCAAGTTTCCTTCTCCCACTCTCTTCCACCTACCTCTCAACCTCTNGTAATTAATTTCACAATACAATCCGTAGCATAGTCTACTATCATGTGCATACGCCTAAACGGGAATTTCAAGTCCCCCGCTTTCGTCCCGCGTGCTGTGTCCGATTCGCAGGAGCTGAAATGCATTTTCGTCTACTGCTGTATTCTACCATCCATGGCGCACTATAGAGGTCCGTCCTCTCGATCGGAAATATCGGGGGGTGCGTGCGTACTTGATATTACTTGAGAGGGGTGCCTGCCAGCCTACCTCTTAGCAAGAACCACCGGCTGGTGTGACATCAGTATACACCATGGATAAGTACTACATATGTTGGTGTTGCACTACACTCTTGCTCTGTTGAAACGGGCAGGGTTACTCCGACTGTTAGATATACTCGCAGCAGTATCTGGTCGTGAGGATCCTAAGGGGATTCGTGTTGGGAATTTCGTGTGTTGTAGAGTACCACCGGAGCAGTCACGGGGACCCTTTTGGCGCGGTTGGTACGATGAGGCTTGCTTGCGTGTGTGCTGCGCACTTCTTCCTTCTCTCCCTCCACCGCCACCGCCGTCTCTNGAGAGGGGTGCCTGCCAGCCTACCTCTTAGCAAGAACCACCGGCTGGTGTGACATCAGTATACACCATGGATAAGTACTACATGTTGGTGTTGCACTACACTCTTGCTCTGTTGAAACGGGCAGGGTTACTCCGACTGTTAGATATACTCGCAGCGGTATCTGGTCGTGAGGATCCTAAGGGGATTCGTGTTGGGAATTTCGTGTGTTGTAGAGTACCACCGGTGCAGTCACGGGGACCCTTTTGGCGCGGTTGGTACGATGAGGCTTGCTTGCGTGTGTGCTGCGCACTTCTTCCTTCTCTCCCTCCACCGCCACCGCCGTCTCTCTCCAATCAAGTTTCCTTCTCCCACTCTCTTCCACCTACCTCTCAACCTCTCTCTCAACCTCTCTCTCTCGGCCTAACACGGCCGACTACCCATTGCCCCAAGTAACGCCCAGGACGGGCTTGCTGCACCCCGCTTAGTTTACCTTTCACACTAGTGCGATATCACGGTATCTGCGCGCGGACGTAGCCTTCCGGGGGTTGTGCAGTCACGCGCAATCGGTAGACTCCCACAACAACAGACACCATGGAGGGCAACGACCTCTCCGCCCTTAGTGGAGACGAGCTACAACAAAAAGTGGAGGAGATCGTCCAGCAACGAGTACAAGCCGAACTCGAAGCCAGCAGGATCAACGAGGGTGAAGTCACCTACGCCCAACCACCAGCCGGCAACCCAGTCCCCCTACCGGCAACCAGTCATCACCCTCCAGCCAGGACAAACCAGCCACCTTCAACGACCCCAGCAGCGTCGCACACATCGTGGCGCAAGCGGCTACAGCGACAGCTGAGGCCATTGCTTTGCCCGGTCAGGCACGTTACGTGTCAATCCTGGCTCAGAAATAGAACCTTGGCTTGATAGTGTGAAGAAGGAGCAGGACTTGTATATTTTGTTTGATATTTTTCGTGGTAAGATGATTTCATATTTTCAGGAGGAGGGTGTGTATGATGCGTTGGAACTGGAGGTCGAGGTCAAGGTCGGAGGTGTGAATGTAGCAGAGCTTCGGAGANTGTGCTGCGCATTTCTTCCTTCTCTCCCTCCACCGCCACCGCCGTCTCTCTCCAATCAAGTTTCCTTCTCCCACTCTCTTCCACCTACCTCTCAACCTCTCTCTCAACCTCTCTCTCTCGGCCTAACACGGCCGACTACCCATTGCCCCAAGTAACGCCCAGGACGGGCTTGCTGCACCCCGCTTAGTTTACCTTTCACACTAGTGCGATATCACGGTATCTGCGCGCGGACGTAGCCTTCCGGGGGTTGTGCAGTCACGCGCAATCGGTAGACTCCCACAACAACAGACACCATGGAGGGCAACGACCTCTCCGCCCTTAGTGGAGACGAGCTACAACAAAAAGTGGAGGAGATCGTCCAGCAACGAGTACAAGCCGAACTCGAAGCCAGCAGGATCAACGAGGGTGAAGTCACCTACGCCCAACCACCAGCCGGCAACCCAGTCCCCCTACCGGCAACCAGTCATCACCCTCCAGCCAGGACAAACCAGCCACCTTCAACGACCCCAGCAGCGTCGCACACATCGTGGCGCAAGCGGCTACAGCGACAGCTGAGGCCATTGCTTTGCCCGGTCAGGCACGTTACGTGTCAATCCTGGCTCAGAAATAGAACCTTGGCTTGATAGTGTGAAGAAGGAGCAGGACTTGTATATTTTGTTTGATATTTTTCGTGGTAAGATGATTTCATATTTTCAGGAGGAGGGTGTGTATGATGCGTTGGAACTGGAGGTCGAGGTCAAGGTCGGAGGTGTGAATGTAGCAGAGCTTCGGAGACTTTTTTGGCAATGATGTGGTAGACAAGTCTTTCAAACTATGGAATATTATCATCAACAAGGTATTTTACCCCCCGATTCAGAGCTTGATTCTGGCGTGTGAGAGTCCACAAAAAGGCTGGAATATCGTGACAGAATTTCATGGGAAGAAGCAGTCAGAAAGTCGAGGTTGGAGCAGGACTGGAAGGAACTGGAGATGAAAGAGTCCGAGAGTCCACAGGACTATAATGCCCGCTCAGAAGCCCTTCACCTGCGTCTAGCATCTATAGGCACGATTAAGGATAAAACAGATGCCAACAAAGGCATTGCTCGTGGCCTTCCCTCTTCGTTGTATGCCGTGCAAAAAGGAGTACTGCTTGACCATGATGTCCTGACGTTGCGTACCCTTGAGACTGTGGTGAGGGACGCCCAGGTGGAGATGGGGCGCCAGAGGAGCAAGGGGGAGAGGCGCGAGGTGGAGCTCGCTCTCGCCGCGTCCGGCATGGGCCGGCGCGGCGGGGGCAGTGGGGGGGCATACGGGGGTCAAGACGGCGGTCACATAGCAGCTAGCGGCCAAGATCGAGACGGCGAGAAGAAAAAGGGTGACGTGTTTGACGACGACCCCGGCGGATTTTGCCGCTACCACCAGTCCGAGCTTCACACCNGTACTGCTTGACCATGATGTCCTGACGTTGCGTACCCTTGAGACTGTGGTGAGGGACGCCCAGGTGGAGATGGGGCGCCAGAGGAGCAAGGGGGAGAGGCGCGAGGTGGAGCTCGCTCTCGCCGCGTCCGGCATGGGCCGGCGCGGCGGGGCCAGTGGGGGGGCATACGGGGGTCAAGACGGCGGTCACATAGCAGCTAGCGGCCAAGATCGAGACGGCGAGAAGAAAAAGGGTGACGTGTTTGACGACGACCCCGGCGGATTTTGCCGCTACCACCAGTCCGAGCTTCACACCAACGAGCAGTGTCGTTTCTAGCAGTAACTGCGGCGCGCGCGTTCGAGAGAGGGCGCCGAGGAACGAAGCTCGGGCGGCGGCAGCCGCGGTGGCGGCGGTAGCCAGCGAGGGGGTAAAACGCCGCCGGGGCCCGGCCGCGGTGGCGGGCGATGGGTGAGGATAGAAGGGCAGCAGCACCACACCGGTCATGGTGGCGGTGGCTGGAGCCAAGCCTCACCCCCCCCGCGACCTCTTCGTGGACGTGGGCCTGGTGGTCGTCTGGGGCGTCACCCGGGGGGTCGTGGGCCCGCGGGACGCAACAGCAGCGACGGTCGTGCCGAGAGAGAGCGGGCAGGGAGAGGCCCGGGGCACGCGCATTCTGGCCACGGAAAAGAGCAGGCGTACGTTGTGTACTACGCCAAAGATGATGGTGGCTGCTACGAAGAGTACGGCTACTACGATGACGGATACTACTACGACGACGGCTACCACGACGCCGGGTACGCTCACTACGCCGGCGGTGGGGGCAGCTACAACTAATCCTCAGGGTACGAAGACAGCCGTTCATCTGACGGCGGCATCCACTACGTCTACTACCCTCCCGCTGGCGAAGATTCGTTATCCGAGCAGCCACCCCGCGAGCAGCAGCAGCACCGCTTCCTCCTCGTCCTCTACTCCTTCTCCTGGCGCGCCTCCATCTTCGGACTACCTCCACCTCTGCAAGGCACAATCGGTGCCCCTAGGCAAGTCTTACCACGAAGATTTTTGTGGTAGGATATGAGTGACGGTTGGAGTTGAGTCTGCTGCGTCTGCTTCGTCTTTGCTGAGTGTGGAATCTAGTGACGGACCGCCTGGTAGCGAGAGATGGGTAGCTGACTCAGGAGGCAGCAACAGTTTTACCAACAGCAACCTGCACATGTACGACCTGCAAGAGATCCTCGCCAGGAGGAAGTGTGTCGTTGTAGGTGATGGTCGACTGCTCGAAGTGCAAGCTATCGGTAGCANTGTACGACCTGCAAGAGATCCTCGCCAGGAGGAAGTGTGTCGTCGTAGGTGATGGTCGACTGCTCGAAGTGCAAGCTATCGGTAGCATCAATCTTAGTTTCTTTCAGGAGAATGAGAATGGTGAAAAAATGACGATGTGTGTGAAGCTCACTGACGTGTCTGTAGTAGAGAGCCTGAGCTTCAACTTGTTTCAACGCATGCTGCTTGTCTAAAGCAACAAATCATTCACGACGAGCGTGGTGCAACCCTACAAAATGGACTGCTCTTTGCTAGAGAGGAAAAAGTGTCTGTAGAGTATGCCATGCGGTTGCCGTACGACCCATCTGCGACTATAGTTGACTCTGCTGCTTTGCCCGCATTCGCGACTGCCCCCGATTCCGCCCCCGCCGTTGGCTCCGCGCGTTTCCTTCTCCCAAGAAAGGGGCTCCGCGGAATCATTGGTGTCCGTGTTGCGTGTTCCTCCCGCTGGCTCTGCTAGCGTAGTACCTTCGGCTGATAGCGTCCCGCCCATTGGTCCCACCAGTGTAGTACCTGCGAGTGAGAGCGTCCCGCCAGCCGGCTCTGCCGACGTTGTACCTTCCTCGGCGTCCGAGTTTGTGTGTGTGGGTACTTTTCCGGGTATGGATCTTGGAGATACGAGTGTGCTCACCGACGAGCAGCTCATGGATGGGTATGATGACACCCCGTATCAAGATTTTTTCCCGGTGTTCATCCCAGAGAGTGACGCTGCAAATGTGGCTGGTGTTTTGGATAGCATTGATGTTGGTGCTGATTTTGACTTCGGTGCGGCCGCTCTTGGCCCTTTGCTCTTGGTTCGACTGAAAAGTCCGTTGATATCAACCGCTTCCACCGCTCCCTTGCCCACGCTTGCGAGCCTCTTTTGAGAGAAACTGCCCAGCAAAGAGGCATCGTGCTCACCGGCAAGCTGGAACCGTGCACGGACTGCATGAGGGCGAAGGGCAGGCGAGGGTCGGTGTCGCGGGGCCCGGAGCGCGGGCGTCTAAGCCCCTCGGGCGTGTTCGCCTGGACCTGTGTGGACCGCTTGGGCCTTCCCTGGGCGGCAACCTCTACCTTTTTGTCGCCGTGGACAGCGCCTCGCGGTGGAAGAAGGTCTACGGTCTCCGGCGGAAGTCCGATGCGCTGGGGGCAACGAAAAGGCTGCTGGCGGACGTGGGGCGGTACGACCTCGGGCGCATCGAGTGGTTCCGCGTCGACGACGGCACCGGGTGGACCCGCGGCGACTTCCGGCGCTTCTGCGATGACAACGGCATCGGCGTCGAGTTCACCCCGCCTGGCGTTCCGCAGTACAACGGCGTCGTCGAGAGTGCCATCTGGCGCATCATGAAGGTCGGTATGGCCGCTCGCCNGAGATGTTCACCGGCGAGTAGGGGCCGTTCCGCGTGCTGCCGTTCTTCCAACCCGGCTTCATGCGTGAGGATCGCCGCACCAAGCTCGACGACCAGGCCACCCTCTGCTACTACCTGAACGGCGGCGACAACCACCCGAGCGGCACCGTCAAGGTCCTCAAGGCGTCCACCGGCCGCGTCGTCTACACCAACAACGTGTCGTGAGTGACGTCGGCGCCAGCCGGCGAGGGGGGTTCGGCTGGTATCACCGCTGCGCTGACACCCCCCCCGTTCACGCCGCCGGTCGCCTCGATCAACTTTGGCCCAGCACAGACGCCATCGACCGCCGCACCGACGCCGCCAGCGCCCACGCCGTCGCCCGTTCCCGCTCCCGCTGCCGCTTCGCCCCCTGCCGCAACGCCGCCGCCAGCGACCACGCCGCCGCCCGCTCCCACCCCTTCACAGCCGCCCTCTGCCACTTCGCCGTCACCGTCGGCGACCCCCGCTACTGGCCAGCCGTCCTCTGCCGCTTCGCCGTCACCGTCGGCGATCCCCGATCCAGACCAGCCGCCGTCGCCGCCGGATCCCGCGATGCCCCCGCTTACGGCTCACACCANAGACGCCTTCGACCGCCGCACCGACGCCGCCAGCGCCCACGCCGTCGCCCGTTCCCGCTCCCGCTGCCGCTTCGCCCCCTGCCGCAACGCCGCCGCCAGCGACCACGCCGCCGCCCGCTCCCACCCCTTCACAGCCGCCCTCTGCCACTTCGCCGTCACCGTCGGCGACCCCCGCTACTGGCCAGCCGTCCTCTGCCGCTTCGCCGTCACCGTCGGCGATCCCCGATCCAGACCAGCCGCCGTCGCCGCCGGATCCCGCGATGCCCCCGCTTACGGCTCACACCATGCGGCAGCTTCGCCCGGGTACAAAGGCCGAGGGTATGACAGACCCGCGGCTGCCAAGCCGTACGAGATCGGGCACAAGGCACAGCACAGGACTCATCTCGATGCTAGACAAGAACACTCTGGTGTCGATGCTGGAGGCTCGGAGCGCGGTGGATGAGGAGCGCAGGGAGCTGGGGGGGGCGGAGGCCGGAGAGCCGGGGGGAGCGGGGGCTGGAGAGCAGGCGGGAGCACTCGCAGCGGTGGACCCGGGGGCTGGAGGAGCGGGCTTTCCACTCGNCTGACCTTCCGCACTGCTAGGCCAGCGACCCTCATGTTCCAAAGAGCTACAAGTGGCCATGGCGTCGGAGCACCGGCACCTGTGGAGCGACTCTATGCAAAGGAAGTTTTATGGCTTGTTGGAAGCGGGGACCTTTACTCCGGCGAAGTAGCAATTGGTGGAGAACGTAATTATCGCTAAGTGGGCATTCGTTTGGAAGGCAGATGAGTTTGGATGGCCCACAAAGGTTAAGTTGAGGCTTGTAGCGAGAGGTGATATGCAGAGAGAGTACATTGACTTTGGAGAGTTGTACGCGCCTACCGTTTCTGTTTCACGTGTTAGGATGTTGGCTGTTTTGGCGTGCGAGTTGAACCTCGACTTGTGTCNTGGTGGCGAACGTAATTATCGCTAAGTGGGCATTCGTTTGGAAGGCAGATGAGTTTGGATGGCCCACTAAGGTTAAGTTGAGGCTTGTAGCGAGAGGTGATATGCAGAGAGAGTACATTGACTTTGGAGAGTTGTACGCGCCTACCGTTTCTGTTTCATGTGTTAGGATGTTGGCTGCTTTGGCGTGCGAGTTGAACCTCGACTTGTGTCATTTCGATATTGAGCAAGCTTTTGTGCGTTCGGAGTTGGAGGAAGACGTGTACATGCGTTTGCCGCAGGGATGTGGAGCTCTATCTGGAATGACTGAAAAACTAGGCGAGAGTCTGTATGGCTTGAGACAGACATCTAGGCAGTGGCATGCAATGCTGATAGGTGTTTGGTGGCGTTAGGTTTTGAGCAGTGCATGGCCGATGCTTGTGTGTTTCGTTTGATTGAGGATGGATGTGTTGTTTTGATTTTGGTAGTACATGTAGTTGACGTTTTTGCTGTGGGAGAGAGGGAGACATGTGACAAGCTTAGCGCCGACCTTAACAAGTCCGTGCCAGTGAAGAACCTCGAAGAGTTGAGATGGTATTCTGGGTTCTTTTACGAGAGGAACAAGGAGACCGGTAAGTTGACGATTTCTCAGCAGACTTTCACGGATGAGCTAGCAGCAGAAAATGGAGTAGTGGGAGGTAAGAGCGTTCCGATGTCTTCGGGGGTGAAGCTTTCTGATTTTGATGCGGATGAAGTGGCGACAGACTTTGCGTTTCGTGAGCTGGTAGTATTTTTGATGTGACTGGCGACTCAGACTAGGCCAGACATCGCGAATGCAGTAGGGGAAGTAGCTAGGTATTGCGCATCTCCGAAGCTGGTACACTGGAATGCAGCGATGGATATTTTGGGCTATGCGAGAAGGACGGGTCACTTTGGTATTTCGTTTCAGAGAGGTACGGTAGAGGGTTTCAGTTTGCAGGGGTACGCTGATGCGGACTTTGCAAGCCAGGCAGCAGACCGTAGGTCGGTATCAGGGGGGATCGTGACGTGTGGAGGAGGCGCTGTGTCTTGGTTTTCCAGAACGCAAAAATGCGTCACGCTTTCGACGACAGAAGCAGAGTACGTCGCGCTAGGCGACGTAGTGAAGGAGATTTTGTTTTTGAGGCAGATTTGGCGTTTCATGTTGCCGCAGGTCGGCATGCCGTGCATCCCCGTCTTCGAGGACAACCAGGGGGCGATTCAACTAGCGCAGNCGCGCTTGGTGACGTAGAGAAGGAGATCCTGTTTTTGAGGCAGATTTGGCGTTTCATGTTGCCGCAGGTCGGCATGCCGTGCGTCCCCGTCTTCGAGGACAACCAGGGGGCGATTCAACTATTTAGCGCAGAACCCCACCTCAAACTCGAACTCGAAGCACATAGATAGATGTAAGGCACCATTTTCTCAGGGAACTGGTAGAGAGGAAAGAGATTTCGGTAATCCACGTGCCGTCGCCGTACCAGCGTGCAGACTTGCTTACGAAGAGTTTGTCGAAGGATGCTTTTGAGTCTCACCGTGATTTTGTGATGAATTTGGCATCAGCGTTCATTGTTTTTCTGATGAGTTTCTATTGGTTTTATTTTCATTTTCCGCGCCAAGTATTCGTTACGCGCGATGCAGCATTCATTCATGTTTCTTTGAACGATTTTTCTCTCGTACATTTTATTTTCGTCTAGACTAGTCTTGATGGCATATATTCTGGAAAAGATCTCTTTTGGTTGAGATATCGGATGTTAGCGAAGTTTTCAGTGAGTGTTGCGAGCAGGGGGGATGTTAGATATACTCGCAGCAGTATCTGGTCGTGAGGATCCCAAGGGGATACATGTTCGGAATTCTGTGTGTTGTAGACTAACGCCGGTGCAGTCACGGGGACCCTTTTGGCGCGGTTGGTACGATGAGGCTTGCGCGTGTGCTGCGCACTTCTTCCTTCTCTCCCTCCACCGCCACCGCCGTCTCTCTCCAATCAGGTTTCCTTCTCCTTCTCTCTCTCCACCTCTCTCTCAACCTCTCTCTCTCGGAATGACACGGCCGACTACCCAGTGCCCCAAGTAACGCCCAGGACGGGCTTGCTGCATCCCGCGTAGTTTGTTCGTGAGCTCTGGCAACAGTACTTGCCGTGCGGACTTGGGGCTGCTGTTTAACTGGTTGAATTAGCACGCGATAGAGAAGGCACGAAGGGAGAGAGAGCGGAAGGAGAGAGTGCCCCGAACTCACGAGAAAAACGGGGGCTCCGCGCTCTCACCAAACTGTCTCGCCACATACCTCTCCAGGTATATCCTATCTGCGTCCTACGTAACGGCTACTTTTGGCTTGTCTACT